CACTGGAACATTTCCACTCTAAAATGCTGAACCTGGTACCCACATCAGTTGGAAAAGACATTTTTGCCCTCATTCAGCAACCAACCAGCTGGAAAATTGCTTCCTTACAGTGCTACAGAAAAGTTCCTTGATGCCAAAGGACAATGAATACCCCTGGAGACCCTTCACGGGGCCCCGGTTGATGCTATGAGTTTCTAAGACACTGGAGAAGTGCCAGAATTTGTCGGCAGTGTAGCTTGGGATCAGGTATTTCAGGATGGGAGGGTTTCTGGTGGCTTCTTCAGTGGAGCTAGGACTTAACCCACTAATAATTTTTCTGTCAAGCACAGGCACTATATTTATCATCATTGCAAATAGGTGTGATTCAGTTCCTTCCTCAGTTGCATCCTCTCAGCCTCTCACCAAAAAGAAAATCTGGGACTAGGCTAGTATCCGTTTTGCAGGGAGTGGCTGTGACCTTGTAGGCTGGTTTTCCTCATAATTTGATTGCTACAGCTAGAAAAGAAGAGCGAGTCATACTTTATTTCCTTTCATGCTGCATCTGAATTATTTACTGCTTTCAGTCACCTTCTGCAAGGTGAACTAAACAGCGGTACATAAAAGCAAAATGATTCAGTAGGGAACTTTGACTTGGCCAGCCTGGATGCTAGGAACATGTGGCAAGGCACTAACAGGAGCTCTTGTATGCTCTTCCCTCTCTGGCTAATCTGTTTGACACACTGAAGATTTGAACCCAAAGTATCTGACAAGAGACAATGGAATGTGTTAAATGCAAGAGTGGTCCCAACTGGAAGAGGGCAATCCATGTGGTTCTATCAATTTACTGGAGCTAAGAATGCAGATGATGAATGACTTGACAGCACATAGTTTTCCGAGACCAACTGCACCAGCGTGGGTGCAATGCCTTGATCATAGGACCACCCTTCTGTCCTTACTGTGAGCAAGCAAAAAACACTCGGCAGAAAAGACAAAGCTGGAGGACGAGAACAACGTGCTACCAAACATAGTACCTGCCTTAGTCTGCCTGAGAGTGCATAACTCTGCTCTGTGTTAGCTAAGGTGTCTGGTCTGTGGATTACTGGAGGGGGGAAAGAGAAGGAAAAAGCATTCGGAAATATTGCAAATATATGGGAAAATGTTTCATAATACTCGCAAACCTAAGAATTCAGATCACGTATTTACCCATTAACTTCTAACTACTACTAACCGTGTCAAACATACAGTGTCATAAAAGATGAGCAGTGGCCCTTACTGGGGCCGTGCATTCAGCTGATGGAGGACTGGAACAGAGTCATCAAGCACTGCACTTAGCGTAGGAAAATTACATCCCTTCATTTAAAGCAGTCCTCAGAGCTTTCCTTAAAAACAAAACAAAACAAAACAAAACAAAAAAACCCCAACCCCAAAACTCCAAAACGGAAGAAATCTACTTAGCTGTTAAATATCCTAACTTGCAAGTATCTGCAGGTGAAACAAAACACCCAAGTTGGACTTTCTCAGCACTTTGAAAGAGGGGAGATTTAGATTAGATCTAAGGAAGAAATTCTTCACTCTGAGGGTGGTGAGGCACTGGAACAGGTTGCCCAGAGAAGTTGTGGCTGCCCCATTCCTGGCAGTGTTCAAGGCCAAGTTGGATGAGGCTTTGAGCAACCTGATCTAGTGGCAAGTGTCCCTGCCCATGGCAGGGGGGTTGGAACTAGATGATCTTTGAGGTCCCTTCCAACCCAAACCATTCTATGATTCTATGATTCTGCTCCCGGGAGCATTTCCATGGTCTTTTCAGATGGCTGCTTACCTGTTATGAAGCTGATGGTGGAGCTGTCACAGCAGCTCAGCTCTGGGTCCCCCCAAGTCACCATAGTGACCCGGAAATTGTAATACCAAGCAGGCAGCAGGTTAGCTATTTTCTGTAAAGTGACAAAAGACAAAACAGCAGCTCAGGACAAAACTCGCCATCATGAAGTGTGACTTACAAAACACAACCATATTTATTGATCTAGCGCCCACGCTCGTTTCACTGAGCTCCCATTCCTTCCTCCAGTGGAAATCTCTGTAATTTGGCCTCTGAATTTATTCAAAATCTGTGCTGTGGGAGCAAACACGGCTGTGATGGCTCTGCTGCTTATCCACGTGCACGTGGTCCCCGGTCCTACCCGCCATGGGAACCTCTCATGGACTTCCAGGGCAGCGAGAACAATTCGCACAGAGCGCTCTTCCATCACAAAATTCTGATGTGATGAAAGCAGAATATTTGACTGGAAAATGCAGCCTTTTCTATTTTGATTAAATAGGGTGTGAGGATAAATTTGAAACAATGTTTTTGACTCGGATATTGTCACTTCAAAAGACTTATTTTTTTCCGATTTTCAAAGTGTATTTCACTTTATATTATCATTTATTATAAATGAAATACGAATGAAACATAAATGATTTATGAGATGTAAATTATACATATAAATACAAATGAGATATAAATGAAGTATGAAATTCAATATATTTTATATTATAAAATATTATGTAATATTTAAATTCAAATTAAAATACTTCCATTGACAGGATAGAACACTTCAAATATTTCATGTTTAAGTGAAAAGCCTCATGATATTTTTAAAATTCAAAATAAAAGCAACCTGGAAATAATGAAAACTTTCAACAAATTAGAAATTGCTGTTTTTACAGATCTCTCCTGTTTGCAGTGGCCTTTTTTGCCCCAGACACTACGAGGCAATCCAAATTTAGGGCTTGTGGACTATTCTCTTTATGCTTTTTAGAAAAAGTTGTATCCAATTACCACCAAAACCTTAAAGACGTTTGGACTTCTTCTGACATGCCCCTCTTGTAATATTGAAAATACCAACATTGCTTTGATAATTTGAAAATAGGATGCAGAGCACAAAATGAACAAGGCAACTAAACAGAGTGAAAGGGCAAATTCAGTTCCAAAAGTTCTTACCAAGTGATAACGTTTCAGGAAATAATTTTTGATCTAAGCTGTCAGATAGCTTGATTTTTGATTCCTCTGCCTTCTCACTGGGCTGGATACTGTTGCTCCAGAACACACCACTCGGAGATGTCAGTAGATCATAGGGAAATTTGTGGGACCTGGTGGGATTCTGGAGCACCGCTAGAGAACCCAAACAGAAGTTCACCAACACCTACCTGTATGTTAAATGCCATAACAGAAGAAGAGGGAGACA